GACATATATATAAACAACAATGTGTAAACTGGGTAATGTCTGCTCAAACAGACCTTAAATGAATCCAATACCTCTTCAGCATGCCACCAGATGCTGCGGTTCTATTAAACATCCATTCATTTGAGTCAGCTGTGTGAGCGTTACTAAGAAGCACTGCTCTAAAATAAAAAAAAGAAATAATGCAGTGCACCTTCACTCATAGGGAATTTCTATAAAAGTGAAGTAGATTCTGAAGGCTGTTAAAGTCCTAAATTTTATAATAAAAATGTTGGCCTTTAAAAAGTCAGAAACACATCCAGATTTATTAAACTATGGATTAAATTACTTTATAGTTTAAGATCCTGGCTTACTGTTTTAATTTGGACTCTTAAGTCAAAACTATATTTGACTCGAAGCCTCAAAGATCTTTAACAGGCTCAACCTATATGTAGAAATACTGAGGACTACTGATACTTTAAAGCTTAATAAATGCACAAAGTGAATATGGTTTAAGTGTAATGTTTGTACCCTACTGTTCCATCAAACACTATAGTAACTGATTATTTTTTTTCTTGTAGGTGTGTTGGCTGGACATGACAACCGCGTTAGCTGCCTGGGAGTTACTGATGACGGCATGGCAGTTGCAACGGGATCCTGGGACAGTTTTCTGAAGATCTGGAATTGAAGCCTGAAGGTTCTTTTTGTCGTATTTGCATTAAAGGTAGGGAAGCACTAATCCATTTGATTTCAATTTCTCTTTAGGAGCCGCAACTCAAATGGTGTTATAGCCTTCCCTTCATAAGCATTTATTAATCGAGATAGAAGCAGATGTGATGTTGGGCTTTTCTAGGGGAACAGTTTATGTAAAGCTAGATTTGATGTCCTTTTTTTAAACTAGGAAAAAATTAAAAATGTGATCTGTTTTTATCATCTCTGTTTGCAGTTAGCAGGCTGCTAGCATTATTAAGACAGCAAACACTCTGTATTTTCTTAGTGATGGAAAAACCTTTCACTGACACTGAAATTTCCGCAGGTTTGCTCTCATATTCAAATCTAGCATGTTTCCCGATGGGCAGAAGTAAAAGCTCAAGAGAATAAAGCAGAGCAACTTTTCTGTTCATTATTCTTACCTTTATCTGCTGAAAGTCTTGCTCTATCTCCCAACCTGAATGAAATGCCTCTATATCTTCCATGTCATAGAAAAGGTTCATTGTTTAACCTTCTTGCATTTAATTTGTCCTGACTTCACCTAAATGCCTCATTGGTACTATGAAAATAACATGCTGTAGTAGCACGATCCATATCAAAGAGTGCTGTCATTGCCCTTCTGTTGTTGAATTTCCGATTCCCCCTAACGGGTTATTTATTTCTCTATCCATCTCTTGTTTCTCTTAAAATCTATAATTCATTCAACTTGGGCGTTTACCCAGCTGCTGAGTGTAAACATTGGTCTATCTGCTTCCGAATAGATCTCAGCTGTCTTTCTCAGTGTTCTGTTGTTTTTCTTCTCCAGATGTTCTTTTAACTCCAAAGTTGACTGGAAGACCATTACAACTTGAGAATGTTCACAGCATCATCTTCAACACTGTTTAAACTGACTTGGACACCACAAAAACGAAGGGAAACAAATGCCTTTCCTACACAAAGAAGAGCACAATTGTTTATCACCTAGTTAAGAAAGGATCTCCTGTGGTATCGAATCAGAAACTTGTGCATTCCTTCTTGGACCATTTTATGTTACCTTGAACGAGAAAACAACACTATCATCCCATGCAAATGTGTGCGTCTTGAAAGCAAATGTTGGAGTGTAATTGTACAAATTATTTAACTTTTTTTTTTCTTTTTTCTTTTTTTTTTTTTTTTTTTTAAAGATTTCTATTCTGATGGTTTATTATTCTTGATGGCTTTTTCTCTTTGACATATTTCTTTAGTGGTTTTAGATATATTTGAATTACAGCTTGTCTTTGTAATCCAGGTAAATCATATGAGAAAAACATGCAGAAGTAAAAGCTTGGATCATATTACACGAGCAGCTTTCGAATTGTCCATGATGTATTTATATTCTAGCTGTTTTTGTTCCACCACGGCTCTTTGCACATGAAGCTTCGCCTCTAAACTAATAACATTGTTAATTAACCAGGCACATGCTATAAGTTATGAATGCTCATTCCAGTACAAACGGAGTTATGAGGAAAATTATCCAATTAGACCCCTGGATTCTTGTACATGCCTTTTTGACTTTTGGTTGGAAAGGGCAGGGTAAGGACTTAGGTTTTGAGTTAAATAAGGCATGGCTTGAATTGACTATATAGAGGGGGCTTTGTGTTCTGTATCCACTTTGAGTGAAACACCTCACCTGACTTAAATACACACTTCCTTTGCTTGGGACTGCAGTTACAACTCTGTGAATGAAATGTACAAATCAATGTCTGAAAATAATGGTCTGATGTTTTAAGTTAAGACATGAAATTTTGTCTGCCATGAGTTAATTTAGATGTGCATGCTGTAGACTTGCTTTCAATGGTGCAAAAACCCTAGATTTTCTTTTACCAAAAAGGAGAGTTGACCTATTGATTGAATTTAATAGAAGCCATTTTTTTTGGCTCCAACTCTGCATACATCATGTACTAATACTGGTAATGCTATGCACCAGAGTGGTCAAGAATGATGAAAGGCTTGATATTAACTTCATACTTCGTGTAAATTATGCTTACCAGTTCTATCAATGCCAATTTGCTTTTTAATATAACAATCATTGTGAGAAATCTATCCTCTCTCCTTCCAATCTTCACATTCAATGGAACAAAAATGTCCTTGCATACTGTCCATACTAAAACTTTTGTACATTTTTAATTTTTTCTTTTTTTTTTTTTTTTGGTCTTAAACTGAAAATCAGAGCATCTGAATGCCATTTCACTGTATACAGAAGCACTTTTGTTAAGGTTGTGAGATTGGTTCACCTTTTCTTTTTTTTCTTTTCTTTTCTGCAATGATGTACAATAAATGTGATGTATTCGTGTGTGGCCACAAGTGAAAATGCGATTCAACTGAGATTGATTCTCCTTTTCTCTTTCCATTGATAATATAGAGCTCTGCACTCTTATGTACCTTTCCACTTTTTGTATTTCATTTCAGTCTGTTGGTGTTCCACGGTGAGCTGGATGCAAGATAGATACTGTACTAAACTGTACTGTTATTGATTGAAAAATGTAATAAAAAGCTGTTTGAGATCTCTTTGGTGCATTGAATTAAACCGCTCTAAATTAGGTGAAATGTTTTACATTAGTTTAGAGATTTACAAAAACAGACACGATTATTTTGACTTTTTCCTTCCATGTACATGATAAAAAGGAATTAAAGTAATATTAATAAATCAAACCAAACATTAACAATGAGTAGAATGAGCAGCTATGCATGAATTTGAACTCAATGCATGGCTGCTGAATGCCGAAACCAATACAAGACAATAAAAAAAGCTATTATCAGTGTCTATCTCTTTGCTAGATTTACCCAACTTGTATCCTTTGTTACTAGGTAATTCTGAGCCACTTCAATAAAACCTTGATATGATCTTAAATATTTGAATTTACCTCTTATATGAGGATAATCATACAATAAAGCTTGCATAACCTGTTGTAGTGACATAAGTTGAACAGACTTGTTTTATGGTCTTGTATGTTTCTGTTGGGCCTGATTATGATTAGGCCGGTATGAGATTCCCAAGCTAACCTAGATCAAAAAGAGCACACAAGTTTAACATCTTATTTTAAAATAACTTGATCTACTCTACTTTAATGGAAAAAGACACAAAAATATAATGCAACTTTTTTTATATACAACTAAAAATCTCAAGGTTTCTACGTGAAACTATAAAAATGTGTAACGGTACCTTTTTCGGTAAAAAAAAGCTTTTAATGGTTGGCTATTTAACATCATTCAATTACAGTTTTAGTTAAATCCAAACTATTTGAAACAAAAGCAGCTGTCCTGCATGTTTTCATTAGAATGGTAGCCAATAAAAAACATTACAGTTAAAGGTCCTGCAAAGACCAACATGTTTTCCATTGAATTTGCTAATCAACTGGCGTACAAAACATACACTGGGTACGCTTAATATTCAGTCGTTTTATTCTATGATCTCTTTTCCTTGAACATGTTTTCATAAAGCATGTTTGTAAAAAGTAATAATTGTACCTAACAATAGCCACATATGTTTATAGGTTCGTAGTCCAGGCTGCATTACAATAGGGATGGAAAAAATTTTTTTTGTACGCTTGTTGGCGGAGTTTTCTAAAGGGTGCACATTTTCTAAAGAGTGCAGATTTTGCACATTTGTTCAAATGTCGAGAACAGTGACCAGTCCTTTTACTACAAAATAAAAAAAATATATAGATATATATAAAAATAAATATATTTTGAAATATTGCTTTGGGGTGTGGCGGCTTAGTGGTTAGAGAATTGCGCTTTCTGAATTGTGTGGTTCTGAGTTCAAGCCCCACTACATAAACTACCTCTCTGGGTCCCTGAGCAAGACCCTTAACCCCACACTGCTCCCCAGGCAATTAATAAAAAAAAAAAAATATATATATATATATATAGTTATGTTAAAGTATTTTCTTAAAAGGATGGTTTTGATTATATACCTGTTCCTTAATCTAAACCAATTTGTTAACTTCTTTATGACAGGTTTTATTTCTGTTTTCCTTTGTGCTGATCACCGCCATCTTCCCTTTGCTGTCCAACCAGCTCAGCAAGTTGCCGGAAGTTGTCTTTGTGGATACAGGAAACTCTGTCTACGGCGACTCATGTCGAAGGGGGGAAAAGAACCAATCAGACTGAATATCCGCGGTGTAATTCATCTTATTGATAATTATTCCATAATCACTACGTATTCCTGTAACTTTTTATGTTTTATTCAATGTTAAATTGATGGTAGATTATTCCATTCTGCTTTAAAAACACGCGAGTTGGAGAAAATGACCCCTTCTGAGAATGGTTCAGTCCAATGATGACGAATTTCCTGCTTCGCTTAACTCGAGCCATTTTGGAAGGCCTTACGTAGCGTCGTCTGTCTTCTCGTGGAAAAAAAATCTTTAACCAGTGTTTTACTTTACGTGTGTGTCGACGCGACCTCTTGTCAAACTTGTAAAACGTCGTTAACTTACGTAAACAGGTTATAAGAGAGAATCGTTTTATGAAGTTTGTTCTCTGGAGAAGTGCTTTGGAGCTGTTGTCATCCGGTGTTGACGCACAACAACGTCCCGTCTTGCATCGAACAAAGGACTAAAAGCGATGTTCCTCCGTTAGTATAATATATTTGAATTATTAAAAGAGCAACACTTTAAATCTATCCTGAAAAAAAAAACGTTTTTTTCCTTTCGTTTTTTGTGGAGAATATTTTTTTTCCCCTCAGAGAGGGAAAACTGATTCAGCTCTGTTAGCATCAGCTAAGGTTAGCCGGACTAGCAACGAGCTAACCGCGGTTCAGTTTTCATTTAGGAAACATTTGTCATTCGGTGTAGAGAGCGAAAATGGCCGAAGGCTACATTCGGGTGGCAGAGGAGGAAAACGAGGAGCCCATGGAGATCCCCGCCGAGGACGATGGGACGGTTCTATTGTCCACGGTAGCTGCTCAGTTTCCAGGGGCGTGCGGCCTGCGCTTCAGGAGCCCCGTGTCTCAGTGTATGCGAGGTGTGCGTCTCGTGGAGGGAGTCCTTCACGCGCCAGAAACCGGATGGGGGAACGTTGTTTACGTGGTGAACTATCCAAAAGGTAAACATACACACGGTCTGTATGTGGAGGACTACTTTATTTATAATTCATGGGCTGGTACCCCGCAGTGGACGTTTATTGATATAAAAAACACTTTTATTAATGAACATACTAATGTGTCATTTGTTTTTTTCTTCTTCACAGAATAATTTTTGTCCATTATATAATTTGATCATTCTTTTTTGTTCCTTCGTTTGAATTAAAGATACATTAGAAATGGGCTTTTACCTATAAATCGCCTTAGATCAAAGTAATTATCCAAAATAGATTAAATCTGTGTTCATTCTTATAAACGCTGACTATAACAAAGACCTGTAACTTAGTACAAAAATTTTAGTCTAGTAGATCTTGTTAACTTACTAGGAAATATCCATGAATATCTTTGACTCAGGTGGCTAATTTCAAGCATATTTTATGGTCTTTAAATTTGTTGTAAGGGTCTTTTGATTATTGCAAGTTTTTATGTGTGTACATTCATATAAAATAAATAATGACATCAAATGTCTTCAGGCTAGGAGGTCAGCAAAAAATATATACTTTGCTTTGAATATGTATTACTCCGTAGGTGTTATCCATTTCATATAACATTACTTTACTTGTCATCCTGAACAGCTTGGCTTTCTGTGGGTGATGTAAAATAAAATAGACATTTTTTATTTGTTTTCATTTTAGACAATAAAAGGAAAATGGATGAAATTGATGCCTCCTCTGCTGTGAAGATGAAGAGGGGAGACATGAAGACCTCTGACTTGATTGTTCTTGGTCTCCCTTGGAAAACAACTGAACAGGATCTAAAAGACTACTTCAGCACATTTGGGGAAGTCATAATGGTTCAGGTACCTCTCATAACACACTTGCTTATTAATCCTTTTCTTAAGGCGTAGTTCCATAGATATTTACGTTTTTTGCGGCTCTTTCAGGTAAAACGAGACGCTAAGACTGGTAACTCTAAAGGATTTGGCTTCGTGAGGTTCACAGAGTACGAGGCTCAGGAAAAGGTGATCTCCCAGCGCCACATGATCGATGGGAGATGGTGTGACTGCAAGCTTCCTAACTCGAAGGTGAATATGGTAATGTCCATCCACATAGCTGCTTATAATGGGCAAAAAAAATGAATTAACACGCTATAATAACTACCTTCCCCTCATGTTGTTTACAGCAAGGTCCCGATGAGCCGCTTAGGAGTCGTAAAGTGTTTGTCGGTCGTTGCACAGAGGACATGACCACAGATGACCTCCGTCAATTTTTCATGCAGTACGGAGAAGTCACAGATGTTTTCATCCCCAAGCCATTCCGTGCTTTTGCCTTCGTTACATTCGCAGATGATCAGGTATTGTATTAAACACAATCTACTGTCCTGGTGTTCCTTATAAATTTTAGTGTTGTTTCTTAATCACACTGTTTAAGACCCTCCAGGGCTCAATGTTAACCATTGCCCAATCTCCCGTGGCAAGTAGTTTTTATTGTTGGGAGAGTACAAATTTCATTGCATTTGCCTGCCGGGCAAGTGCAATGATTGCAAAAAAAATTTATCACTCAATATTACTTTAAAATCACTGACATTCGATGAAAACGACACAGAAGCGTTGCCGGTGCCATTTTTGTTGTTTTGTACACATTCTTGCGTGATTTGAAATTGCCCGGGGATTTTCCGCCAGATGGCGTGAGTTTTGTCCATCTAGCAGTAATTTTGATGTAGTTACCAAAATGACAAACAGCTGCATTTATTTTGTCAGGGAAAACTAATCCTGAGTCAGTTAAGTCAGGGAATTCTGAAATTATGTAAGACTGTGGAAACCCTGTATAAAGTAACTATGTATAATGATTCTTTAGAAACGTTACATTATATTAATAGTATTATCTTGTATAAACATACTGTGACTCTAAAATAAGTTATTCATTTGTGACATTGACTTCTGTCTTGTGATTTATCTTAAGTTTTTAACCCTAAGATAAAAAAATATATATTTTTCCAAGCACACAACAGTTTAAAGTAAAGTTTAATTTGAAAAGAATGTGCAGGAAGGATTAAAAAGCATACAAGCAACACGGTAATGTAGGCTTGAGTTCATTACCTGACGCATGCATATACACACCAGGAACCTGTAAACTTAAAAAATACTGAATTACAAAAGACATTTAAAAAACAAACATGTTTCATTGATATATATATATATATATATATATATATATATATATATATATATATATATATACAAAAATGAATATTAGGAACTATATTTATCAAACATTTTACTGGGCAAGTAAAACTTGTTCCTGGGCAAATTAAATGTGAAAGTCCGGCAAGTGGTAAAAATCCTTAACGTCAACTCGTGCCCTCAATAAAGGTTTTAATGTCAGATAATGGTAACTAGATTAAAAAAACACCTTTTAAAAATATTTTGTAGGGTGTAATTTATGTGATTATATATAGAATTCAGTTTCAATACCCTTGTTAAGGCTTGATTACTACCAAAGGTGTAGAATCACTTGCATAGATGGCTAAAATAGACTACACAGTCTTAAACATCGACTAATATGCTGTCATCTAAAGAAACCAAATAGATAACAACATCATAAACATCCCTCCATCTACAAAGGATTACAAAGCCATTTCAAAAAACTTTGCTCGAGCAAACCACGGCTAAAGCCATTATCCACAAATGGAGAAGCAATAGAAGAGTGGAGATTTTTCCCAAGAATGGCTTTAAGATCTTTCAATCAATGACAGGAATCATGAATAACTGTTCATGAGAACAATTCCTCTCTCGAGGGCACCATTAATAGGTTCATGTTTGTGTGGTTAACTCTTATATTCCCTTAAATTCAGTAATTAGTATTTATTTTAGTTATCTATGATTATCGTTTAGAACAGTTTAATGACCTAAAGTATGATGAAAAAGGAAAAGACAAATGTATGGTGCTAAAATTTTGTTTGTGTTGTTTGTCCCCCACAGGTTGCCCAGTCTCTTTGTGGAGAGGATCTCATCATCAAAGGTGTCAGCGTGCACATCTCAAACGCTGAGCCCAAGCATGGCAACAGGCAGTTTGATCGCACAGCCCGCTTTGGGAATGGTTTCGGGGCCCAGGCGTTCGGTAGCAACCGTAGTGGGTTGGGGAGCAGCGCCAACAGTAGTCTGGCTAATTTTGGTTCCTTTAGCCTGAACCCTGCCATGATGGCCGCTGCTCAGGCTGCTCTGCAAAGTAGTTGGGGTATGATGGGTATGCTGGCCAGCCAGCAGCAGACGTCCACCTCAGGTAGCAGCTCCAGCGGGACAAGTTCAAACAGGGAACAGGGTCAGTCTTTCAGTGCAGGCAACAGCAACTATGGCACCAGCTCGGCCAGTCTGGGCTGGGGTTCAGGGTCAAACTCTGCAACCAGTGGTAGCGGCTTTAGCTCAGGGTTTGGATCCAGCATGGAGTCAAAGTCCTCTGGGTGGGGTATGTAGGTTTAGTGTTTCTATGGTAAGTATCCAGAGAGATGAGTGTTTTAAAAAGTTTGCTTCTGGTGTTGATGCGTTTATGACATCTAAAAACTTTTGTGGAAGATGTTTTGTACATTATAACAAAAACAAACAAAAAAAAAACTGCTAAAGATATAATTTAGGGATTGTTGCAGTGAATTGTTTACCAGGATCTCTGACTAAAGTGCTATTTTTGCTGTCCCGTATGTTTGTATCCATTTCAACTGGATTCTCTAATGCATGTATTGTGAAATGTGACGCCCCATTTAAAAAATGCATGAATGTCTGTGGTTCACCATTATCCGGCTTTTGTCACCATCAGCTTGAAAGGCAATCTTGCATTGGAAAGAATCTGGTTGAAAACTAAATGTCTATTTTTTATTTTTTTATGAGTACAACTTTATTTGCAGTCAAGTTCTGTGGAAAAGCCTTCACTGAAATCTCTTCTGCAGTATACTTCTCATCCATTTCCCTGCGAGGAAGCTCCTCTTTGACAGCATTCTTGGGGTGATACCCGTATATCTCCCTCTTCCCACCTGTAAATGCTATACCATCAAAGAACGGCCTCACTCCGCATGGTCTGAGAGACGGTGGGTGTTTTCACTTTTATCCACTTTTTTTTTTAAATGGAGAGAACTGCGCAACTGACATTTTAAGAACTGATGAGTGCGATTGAGGATGGCTTGTGACGAGGAGTGAAGCAATGAGTGAGCGAACGGAGAGAGGCGCGTGGAAAGGACTGGTTGTGCAGTGGTAGAGCCCAAATCTGACTGCTTTCTGAGTGTGTGAGTGGAAGCTGCGGATGCGACAAGCGCCTCCCCTAACATGGACATTCTTTAATTATTACGTCAAGATTTGTCCCTTTTTTTTGTACCTTTGCAAGTTTTTTCCTTCCTTCTGAGTATGTCTAAGTGCAGAAATATAAAACCTGTAGTGGAATGTTGTGATGAATATTTGTATTGCTTGTATTACCTGATTTGAATGCTGTATGGTGTGTGCTTTCATGTTAATCGAACTGATCTGTAAGTGTGTTCTTGATGTGGATGACACCTGCTGAAGACTCCGGGGGGCCGCGAGTGAGGATGTGAGAACGTGGAGACGTGTGTGTCCAAGGATGCCCAGTAGCTCTTTGTTGTTTGTGAGGTGTTTTAAAAGAAAAAAAAAACATGTCAAATGAAGAGTTCTCTAATAAAGTTCATTTGAATAGTTACTTAGCTTATGCTGCTTGAGTTGGTTTGTCAAATCGAAAACATCTAATTCGATTCACATATCTAGGGACCTTGGGCTCTGCTGGTCGAGGTCTCCGTTTGAACCCTGACCTGAAGGATGAAGATGGAAGTTCCAACACTTTCAGTGTGTGGCCTTCTCAGACATGACATGGGGTAGTACCTGTCTTTTTGCTGCTTTCATTAGATTGAATTCCTTTTTATAACCATCTACCTTTAAGGTACATCCAGGTAAAAACTAGTTGATCACTCATTTGCGTCGAAGGGAAATTTGTAGCTCAGTACCGTATGCAAACCTTAGAATTCCAGGTTACACCATGTAGTTTTTTTGTTTTTTTTTCACCCTGTAAGATCCTTTAAAACATGTGTAAGTTCTGATGTATTGAGTCAGGAGTCAAAGTGCCATGCAGCTTTTGGATGTTTTCCCGGTTTAAACAATGCAAATCCACATGCCTGCTAATCCACAAATTGTCTCATTTAGGTGTGTTAATGCAGGAACACCTTAAAACTAAGGACTAGAGATGGAAACTTGTGGATTAAATGGTTTATTTATTGGAGCTATAAACCTTAGGCAGCTTTCCTGTTAGATAAGTACTTATGGTTCCATCAGTAACAGTTTACCTTTCAAACTCAAGTCAGAGATGAGTCGTAAACATGTAAAAGACCATACTGATATGAAGTGTTTTAGCAGTAAACCCTCCATCTGTATTCTTGTTTCTTTAATATCTTTGAAGCCTTGATAGTATTTCCAAATCTGTTTTGTGACAGAACCAAACTCCTTGCTGTATTGTCTTCAGCAATTTTCCTTCCTTCTGTCTCTTTAAGCCGCCTGCTAATATATTCAGCAAACTGTCTTATGATGTAATGTCTTCCTCAACATGTGAGGTGTTTTTATTAGAATGGTGATAAGGTATGGTTTGACATCCACCAGGGTTAACTTGAGCTGATTATTTCTTGGTTTATCTCTGCTTTTTTGCTTTATAAATATTACACATCGAGTCACTTGAAATCCTAAACCAAAGTTTATTCAAAGTGTAGACATTGGCTTTCTTTTTGCCATTTTGGCTGCTGGTTCCAGCCTTCACAGGTGTAAACAGTAGCCGTGCATCAATTTGTACTCATTTATCTGCTTTATTATTAACCCATTTTTCTGCATAAATTAGGTTATTTGACTCCAATAGGTAAGGCAGCATCTGCGGGGGGGTTACATTTTTACTGTGGGTCAAACTTTTTATAAAAATCTGCCACCCCAAACTGGCATAAGAACTTTATGTATATAAAAGTTATAGAACATGTCCGTAAAATAAATGCATCTTTGCTCATTTGAGGGTTTGTTTCATTATAAACACGCACAAAAATAAACAGTTGTATGAATCGATCAGGACAAAACATCAAATTGACATTGAAGCAGCCTTTTTTGGTCAGTCTTGTTTTTCTATCCATGTTGGGCATATGTCAGGTGCTGCAGGCTTCCCAGTGTCCTCATTCTTTACTTTCCTCCTCTGTGTCTCTGCTCTTCCTCTTCCCTGTATTCTTCTTTCTGGTATCTTTCTGCTCCTGGGCCAATTCTTCACTTTTATTTTGTATGTGTCTGGACTGAAATAAAGAGACATGAAACAAATCTATAATGTGTACTGTAGAATATCTATGCATTACATGTACAACATTGGTATACTGAATGACATGAAATTGTCATTTGATTTTACAACTAACCAGAGCAGTACTGCGACGAGCTAGAAGCTTCACATCCTCTGCAGACACCGTAGTTCTTTTAGCATGTCTAAAAGACACAATAAGTTGAGCTACGAAGTTCTTGTGTAGTATTTAACCAACCAACAGTTATAATTTGGTTCAACTTGGAAGTCTTACCTTGCAAAAGCTTCTAGATCTTTGGCAAATATATCTGAAAAAGAAAGTCAAAGTATTTAATCTTTTATTAAATTATATTTATTGGGTTACAGAGGAATGTCCCTACAGCTTTTTCAGAATAAGCATTTAGTTGATTAAAATTAAACAATTGTATACAGTTGTAAAATTTGCATCAAAAGGTAATCACTAGATGGATCCATTCTAGAAGTCCATAAAGGCTTAAATAAGACTTAGATTTTATTTTTTCATTTTATATACATGAGTGTATACATTTTTTTATTAAGAACAGCTCTCTAGACTATATCATTTTTTAAAGTGCAGCCTTGATAAGATAAGCAGCAGTGATGAAAAACAGTAATGTAAACTTATGACTGTATATTGAGTTCTAATGTGTAGGTTTGTTTTTTTTTATAACCCATTTTACATAACATTCAGCAGTCATTTACCGAACCATGTGAATTCAGTTCAGTAGTTGTTAAAAATAGATCTATTTGTGTGTTTTTAGCTTTCTTACTATATTTAAAACATTTGAAACATATCTACTGGTCCAGAAAGTAATTTACGGTAAAATACACATTTGGGGTACTTTTTTCACTACCAGGTTTTCTGTGTTTATTGTAAAGTTTGTCTTTAATAATTTTTTTAAGTGGGATTAAAAAGTCTTGAATTTAACTTGCCTTATGCTGTATGAACCCTTTAACGGGCTTAAAACAAAGTTAAAAACGGAGTTTCAATGCTAGCACTTTTAAAGGTTACAACTTTTCTAAAAAGGCTTTAACAGACAAAGTTATTTAAATATAATTCAACTAATTTTGTAAGAGGTTCTATACGTTAGCTGACTGAATTATAAAGTAAACTGAGTGCAGAATCCGGATTTAACATTGATTCTGGTGTATTTCTTTTAATGAACCATAGCAGCACATCCAATTACTTTGTCAACACAGGAGGCTAAGTCTTTATGCGTGTAAATATTGAGTCTAAAGTGATTATTTTCCAGTAATAAACAGAAGATCCTGAATCGACTCCATGCAGAAACTCACCGCACTCTCTGAATGTGGTCTCTGCTATGGCTGCCACGGCCTGCCGGCTGAACTCCCTCCGGTGCTCCTCTGCGACCCTCTGACATAAACGACCTACCGTGTAATGAACCGCTGCCTTCAGCCTCTGTATAGAAACGCAAAGTTTACAGCCTTTGTCATGGCTTTGCAGAAGGAAGGCCAGTAGCATCTGGCTTGGTGCACAGTATGCTAACAGCGACATTAAAACTACTCTTACCTGGTGAGTGTCTTCTTTCTCTGACATTTTCTGAGCTGCTGTGATATAAATTGAAGGAATACGCGTATTAAATCAGATATACGTCATGTAGAAATGCACCTTGGATTTGGTAACATGATGCAAGCTAGTTGCTAAAGGGAAGAACTTCCCAGTTTTAGCTCACAAAACAAAAACTCGCGGCTTTCAGCCAACGACGGCGCTTTCTGAGCTGGAAAATTAACAGCGCCCCCTACTGGTTCTTATTTACAACTCCCCCCCCCCCCCCCCCCCCCCAAGTGCCGCTCCAACTGAGCAACATCATAAAGGCCTAGATTACTAAAGAGATTTCACGTGTTTTATGAAAATTAAAAAATTAGCGTAACGTTTTTTAATACACTTATCATACTTTGGTTGCTGAAGGACATAAAACTGTTTAATAAGACCGTAAAAATTAGATTTAGTCCCGTTGTCTCGCTTTCATTTCTAGGTTTTATTATAAAATGTTACTGCAGAGGAATTTAGCAGTATCATTTATGCATTCTGATCCAGCAAGGGAATATATATATATACACACACACACACACACACACACATATACACAGTATAAAATATTTAGGAGTATTAGTTAAATGAAAATTAATGCATTTAGTGTATAAATAAAACAAGATTACTGATCAGCTTTTTTTTATTATGCATGCATTTCATTTCATTATGAAAACAGCATTAAGTATCACATTGTCTTTAAGGCTATTTTAATGTCCTCCTTTTAAAGACTTGCTTGCAGACTTCACCTTCACAGGTCAGCTCCTGGAAAACAATTATTTTGTTTTAACAATTGTGAGCATACATGTATATAAATAAAACAATTTAGTCCAAAGTTAAGTAAATAGTTAAAATCTACATTCAACGTTAGTCTGTTTTTTCCTAAATGCTCTTAAAAAAGGACAGATACCAGATGTAGCTCATCTCCCTCAATCCAGTGAGTCCAGCCCCTGTTTCTTTTTTCTCCTTTCTGAACGCACACCAGCTTATCGCCGTCCCAGTCAACCACAGACTGGTAGATATGTGTGGGAAAGAAAAAAAAATTGCTCAAAACAGTTTAATCCACAGTACAGTTTGACCATGTGGTTTTAGATACATGCACAGTTACCTGGCACTTGCGGTTGTCCATTCCCTTCGTCGTCTCTTCAAATTCCTCTCCAATTTTGAAGGAACATTCATAAGTTAACAGTGGAAATGGTCTGGAAGGTGAAGGAATCTCCATCTTGTTTGATCACCTTCTGCGGCTTCAGCATACAGGCAATTTTGCGTGTAGCAAAGTTTATGTCTGCATAAAAAAGCCAAGTTTGAATTAATGGAATAACCCAACTATAGGCTTTTTTTTTTTAACAGTGTCCTGTCTGGCAATGTGGCAATAAGAATAATTTCTTGATGCCAAAAAGAACCCAACAGATTTTACTTTCACAAGTGTAGCAGTAGGGCAATTGCCATATAGCTCCACTTATTTCATGCATATAAATTGCTTTATTATAATTATGCAGGGAGTTTTACAGTTTATATGGACACTGCAATGTAAATAGAGCAGAAAAACAGAAGGAAAAGAAAAAAGAAAAGATGAAAGAAAGAAGAGATAGAAAGGAGATAATGACAAAACATTTTCATAGGCTGGTTTTTAATTACTTAACAAATGAACACACTTAAATTTTATGTCTCATTTTACCACCAAACAAGTAGAAAACTAAGAACTTACCAAGTGCGACCATGTAACCATCTAAATTGTCACTGCTGACCATGTCCCATGTCCCATTGTAGTCTGCAGGCATTTTTGGGGTTTGGCTTGCTAAAAAACGTAACAGCCCGAGATTCTGGGTGTTTTATACTGTTCCAAGGTGATGCAACACTGGTCTGTTATTTGGGACAAATACAGGAAGAGAAGCAAACGGTTAGGTTAGTTTTTGCATAATATGAGGAAACTATACTGCATGGTGAGACATCATCTACTTCTGCACAAGCTTGGTGATTAAACATTAATTCATAACAGGTGCATGAAGTGGAGAATGTGCTGGGCAGCACATCCAAGGATCAGGACTTATACACTTTTCAGTCTGCAGACTTATACGCACATATATATATATTTTTTTATTTATATATATATATATATATATATATATATATATATATATATATATATATATATATATATATATATATATATATATATATTAAAATAAAAGCAAATTGACTTTATGTAGAGAAACTTTCTTACTTTGGAGAAACCTTCAGCAGTCTGGTTCCCAGCCTTGAGGAAGGCAAAGAGTCTGGATTCCCAAAACAAAAAGTGTTTCTTACTTTAACACCTGACCTGCTCAGGGACATGTTAGAGCCTTTGTCTCGCTGTTCCCTCTTTGTTTAGACTTTATTTTTAAGCCTAGATGTAAAATAATACTTAAAACAGCAATTTTCATTCCAATTTAGGTTTCCACGTTAGTGTGAGTGATTCATTCATCCATTTTTATACCTGTTTATTAATGCAATTTTGCTGGGAGGGGGTTGTAACCCGGTTACCATTCCATCACAGAAGAACACCGAGACACAGGATAAATAATCATGACACCGTTTAGTTCTGGACTAGAAGAGGAAGCAATGGTATCTGATGAGAGTATTGGCTTGCACAAGGAAAGACCTTAAAGGTATAGTGTCAAATTTTCGCAAATTTAAAAAAATACCTGTACTCTCTACTTTAAAAAATGCACAACCCTGTACCTGCTCCCAAGAGGGAATTTCTATTAGATGTATGCGAGAGCTTGCAAAAGTCCATTTCTCCTCGTAAATTAAAAGTTGCTGTTTGCATCGCTCATACAAGCTTACTTTCCAGATTAGCAATTTTCCACCACCTCAGACTCACTTAAAATGGGAACGAGCACGTAGGAAGGCCTTATGTAAACATATCACCAGAATGATTGACAATTAGGAGGACCACTAACTTTCATGATCCACCCAGAAAAAAAACATCTTCCACTATAACACTTTAAGCTGCAAAGTTATAATAGAGTCAACCGTTCCACTGAGCACCCATGAATGGTTAAATAAATGAATACATTCATATGAGCAGGATATGTACTGCTGCACATAACATAGATGATTAAAAACTATAAAATTAATATTAATAGTACAAAGATCATGTAATTGTTCTTAAAAAAAGACAGCAGCTTTACATTGTAATATATACCAATTCAAAACAACATTGGAGGACACACTAATATTAGAGGTGTGACAATAATAGTAATAATATTAATGATCAGTCTGGTAAAAAGTATTTAACTACCTACAGATTAAGTTTGGTTTTAAGGAAAAAGTTTTGGGCTTCAATCAAGAAATCCCTTAAATAGAACCTATGTGACATGAAGACATAGGCTAAAAGGCATCATGTAAATAGCAAAATAACTCCCAGAACAGAGAAGCTATTAACATCTAACAGTCTGTGAGATATCACCACACACTGTCTATGAATTTGGGGAACCAATGAGATTTCTCTAAATGGAGACTGCATGGAATGGTAGAGAACCTCGCCATGAGTGGGCAACCTATCAGAATTACTCCAAGAATGTACAGACAGCTCTTTTTTTTGATGGCCACAATAATAAATTCTCAACCAACACTGTATGCCTCACTTGCTTAATATAGTGGAGGATGTTCTTTTTTCAGGGGGATCATCAAAGCAAGTGGTCCTCCTAACTGTCAATCATTCTGGTGATATGTTTACATAAGGCTGTCCTACGTGCGCATCCCCATTTTCCATTACTGGTGGTGAGTCTGACATAGTGGAAAAATTGCAAATCTTTTGGAAAGTAAGCTTCGAAAAACAATGTAAAGAGCAACTTCTGAATGGAGCGTGCCGAGGAGAAATGGGCTCATGCATGCTCTTGCACCTGTTTCATAGATGTTCCCTCTCGGGAGCGGGTACAGAGTTGTGCATGTGCATTTTTGTAAAAGTGGAAAGGGCATGTCTTTTAAAAAAATTGCAAAAATCCCACACTATACCTTTAATTCAGGTCAGTAAATAGAGTGATTCTGGCAATCCATGGAAGAATAGAAAACACTGCTGACCAAAAAAATAAAAAATAAAACAGAGTCTCATTTTTCCCCAAAAAAACATCCTGATGTTCAACAAAACTTAAAAAGTATGTTTTGTTAAGAGATTAAAGTGGAACTTTTTGAAAGGTTTCCCCCTCTGTTAAGCTGAAACAGCATTTCAGATTACATCAAACCTATAGCCATACACTGTGGTGGTAGTGTGATGGTATGGAGCTGATTTGCTAATTTTTTATTTATTTTTTTTATTTAACGTTTATTTTACCAGGAAATCCCTTGAGATAAAATCTCTTTTTCGAGGGAGACCTGGCCAAGAGGCAGCAGTACAGTAAGACATATAAAAACACAGGACAACATAATAAAATCAATCATAAACTAGACTCTAGAATAACAGTTACAATTCTCTGTGCAAGCGGTTTTCAATAGTGATTTAAAATGCTGTGTGCTGTGGAGTTTTGAATATTGTGCCACGACCATGGTGCTCCATAGAAAAATTATGTTTTGCCAAGATCTGTGTTGATCCTGGGAATAGTGTCAAGAACACGACTTGAAGAGCGTGAGTTGTAACCACTGTTAGCTACAGACATGAGGTGACACAGGTATGGAGGGAGTTTACCCAGGATGGCCTTGTAAATAAAAGTAAGCCAATGATGTTGTCTTCTGAGGCTTAGAGACCTAGATGACTTGGTTGTAATTGACTATTGATGCAAATACGAATGTCTATTTCTGACCTTTAAGATAAAACCATCCTGTGTTTGGAACTCTAATGATCTAAACAGCTGAAAAAAAGGAGGGCTTTAGAGTGGCCTAGTCACATTTTCGAGATAAATAAAGCTGAGTTTTAAACAGGCCTGGAAATCCTTCACTATTGTTGAAACAAAAATAATTCGGACTCTTATGTTGTTTACCTTTTCACATCATCATTATGTCTAATTATATAGACAATTAGCATAAATCATAGTAAAACTAGTTAATAAAAATTGAGTCAGTTGCTATTGACTGTGATGTAACACTAGTGATAGCTAACCTAATGCCTCAGAGCGCAGGTATCCAGCAGGGCAGTGTTTCTACACATGCTGGTCTGAATGTGCAGCATTGATGTTTCTCTACATGCTGATCTTCATGGCCTACAAAAGCAGCCGATGGATGCCACTAAATAAGAGGCTGAAATTGTAAGTACTTTTCTTAAAGCGAGATAATTTAACCGATCATGCGTGACTGCTGATGTGTAATTCTTATTTACAGTCAAATAGTGAATGCAGTGTTCGTGGTGGTGGTTCTGACCCCTCAAATCTACATCATGGGGAGGTAACCTGAATAGAAAACCATTGCATAAAGTCACACTTCATTAAGTGTTTTATTTTTTTATTGGTGTGATTAAAGGCCAAAATCATCAAGATACTGCAGGCAGCCTCTTCTGAACAACCTGTCAGCCTCTGTAGCCCTGTCCATCATTGCTTCAGGTGAGTCCCATCACGCATGTATAGTTAAAATATCAATAAGTTAATCCTTTTTCTCTGTCCTTAGGTCTTTCAGTGGTATTCACTTTACTAGATCCAGTTCCTCAGGGCTTGTGGGCTGCCTATCATGTGTTTGGACTTTTTTCATGCGGGCATGGACTGTGCACGACCGTCCTGACTCTCACAGCAGCTGCTTGTGTAAGACAAAAAACAATAGAAGGAAAAAGTCTAAACTCGGTATTAAAAAGAACTGTGTTCATACTGACAGGCCAACACTACCACAGAGCTGTACTACCTCTCTGTTGCTCTAACAGTGGCTTCAGCAATCAGCACAGGTGAGGAACGTTTCTGTCCAAACGCTTACGGTTTTATTCCACCTCTCGAGTGGGCTGACACCTGTTTGTGTCTGTTTAGGGTTCTTCATGGTGAGATCAGGACTGTGGTTAACCAACAGGCAGGCAGTGATGTGGGACAAGTAGAAACGACGGGTGATAAAACAGGTCCAGCTGTCCCCACAGTGACATCGGATACAGTGTGTTTTAAAGAATTCATGAGGGATCCGGGCCACCAGCAGATGGTAACTTAACACCATGAACAAAGGAAAGTAGTGTGAGGGAGAAAATTAAACTCTAGTTTTAAGACTAACCGCAGAAAAAAACAGATGTGGTGATTGGTAAAAAACTATGCAACTTGTTGTCCAATGAATACATATGTAGTTTTCATAGTTATTGTTAACAGTATATACATATATAATGTAAACGCAAACGGATAAAAATGCTGTAAAATGTTTCCTATATTAAAACACAGTAATTTTTGGCTTAGTGTGAAATAAAGGTTTTATTTCAAAGCTTTTACCACAAACTTGTGTTTAAAACACATTAAGTTTGTACAAAAAAGGTTAAAATGGTTAATTTAACATCCTGATTCAAATAAGAATTTTGATGTTTTGAGACTTTTAATAAATCAAATGTTTTGATTAAAAAAAAAAATCAGATACATTTGCATTGGTCTTTAAAAAGTCTATTTGAGCAAAGTTTGTTTTTGAATCTCGGAATTAAAGATAATTATACATGGAAATGCACATTTAAGGGCTAAAAACAACATATTTAAAAATCTAAATCCAGAGATAACAGTATCATACAATGAAATAATTGTGTATTGAAACTTAAGTGCTCTCCTTAAAACTTTAAGAATATTTGAGAATTTCCAGCACCTGTACCAACCCTGAGTTAAAGTTGAGCATCACGGTTCTCTACATCAGGAGTCCTGCAACTCTTAGACGTCTCAGTTTCAACACACCAGAGTTAAATAATGCAGTTTTTAGCAGGATTAAAAACTGATATGGAGGTAATTTAGCTATTTCATTCAGGTGTGTGAAAGCAGAGACCAGACCTCGAGGACCTCATTAGAAGTTTAGATGTCAGCAGTGATGGTGAGATGAGGCTCCATGAGGCATTGAACCATTTGAGCTAACTGCTACAGAAATAGGTTAATTTCTCTGAGCATCATTTGTACGTGAAACCCCCTCCTGGTTGTCTACATAATTACATTCAGCACAGTTATCTGTGATTGTTGCATGTATTATTACCATGTAGGGCCCTTGGAAACTATTATTTAGTAGTAAGTGTTTATTTTATGACTATCAGATGTATAATACATGTGAACATGTGTGTGTACATTTTCTAGAAAAGAGAAAACTTTAAAAAGGCACACTGTATGTTTCTGATTCTTTTGTTCTTTTATCATTTAAGGTTCATATCTGCCCTTAATATGCAGTCAGAGTGACCCAGTGAGCTGCGTTAGATATTAGATAAAACGCTGAAAGCTGTCTAAGAATGTGGATGGTTTGAGGTGCTACTTTATTTTGCTTCCTTAACCTAGATTTGCAGAATGTCCAATAAAGAACAGGAAACCGTCTGATCAGACCAATGGAAATGAGAACAGTGAGTATACTGGGAGGGAGGAATTGTTTCTTTAAATCTAGAGAAATAAATATGGAGGCTGGGTTCTGGTGGTAAATATGAGCAAAGCTAAAAGGAAAATATGTAAAAAAAAAAAAAAAAAAATTGGAAAATTAAATCTTGGGACATATTTTGAAATAGTATGAAATGGCAACCTCTGCATTAATGCACATGAAAAAGACTTCATTACACACTGAAGTACTGCTGAAAATAATGCTTTATTTTTTTAATCTTTTATGTGTTTTAGTATCGGTCATGGATGCAACACCCTGACATTAAATACAACCGATATATGTTAATTTAAAAAAGATCAGAGCAGGAATACAGTATAATACAACATTCAAGGTCATCTTTATTTTTTATTGAAACAATCAGTTCTGTCCTGAAATGGTGCATTAAAAAAATAAACTCACCTTCAGATTGCACAGAAATAATCTGATAGGAATGTCTTATTTCAAAGTCTCTACAGCACCACTAGCCTTCATCACACCGAATCTATATAAAAATAGAAACCCCACCACCAAATAATAAATGTATAATCTAGAACTGCAGATTACACAGAAACCTGAGATGTTCTTTAATTTAAACTATCAAACACATTGATTCTGTCTAAACTTAATCATTCCTGCGTTTGTTTGGCTCAGAGCTCTAAATTTCACGGCATCACATGCTGCAAACTTTATACTATGAACTAGAGACATGGATGCCTCTAATCTTTCAACATTTCCACTCAGCTCACACTTAAACAAAACTTAAAAGGCTAAAACTATATTCAATTCACTCACACAGATTCCACATAAAGTTTCTTTTGATAGAAAAGGATCCTGCTTTTACTCATTAAACTGCAAAAGCTCAGACTAGTTTGTGCTTTAAAGGTTTGGTTTATCATTAAACTTCAGTTCTTGAAGTGGAAATATTTGCCTCAGGGGTATCCTAGTGTCCCAGTTTTCCTACAAACACATGGACCCATTAAACAGGGAACCTTGAGGAGACTTTAAACTGATCTAAAGACCAGGGCAGGTCAGATGTTTACATATACCCAACATGGGAAAAGACATAATTCAATTTTAAAGATTCTTGTTCCACGGTGGCGTGGCCCAAACTTAAAGAAAGCCTAATAGGGTAGAGGTTAATGACCTGACTGAAGCTAGCCCCTTTGATCCATTCCAGCTTTTTAATGTGCATCATTGTTCTGTTGGAACATCTCCAGCCCAAGGGTCTGCACACTGCAGCTTAGCGGATGGAATAGGCATCTGCAGTTTCTCTTTATAGACTGGGCCAAAATGGATTAAATGGGCAACTGGGTCTAAGGTTCTAGCATCGGTTTCTATGTTTTTGCCTAAATGTGCACAGCAGAATGGTGCTACAATAAAGAGATTCTTTCTCTTGTTCAGTCCTTCATTTGTCATAAGGCAAACTATGTTCCTGCATTTTCCATAATAATGGGACATTTCCTACATGGAAAATATCCATCATCTTGTAAAAATCTTAAGTCTTAAACATCAATTTGGTTGAATAATTGTAATGTGATTTAACTTAAAGAAAAAGAATTGGTCATACAGGAGGCAGTGAGAAAATTTGATGAGTTCTCAAAAGGCCCTTTTGGTTCAGGAGCTCTACAAAATGCAAACATGTAGCATGACAAGATTATTAAACCAATCGGAAAGGTCGGAAAACCCAGGAAACAATCCATTAACTACCAAAACTCAATCTTAAGATAAACTATAAGATGCTGGGGCACCAGGGTCACTGTTCAGAGTTTCAAATCAACATGGTCCGAGGACCTGGCAACAAAGAAGGAAAGAAACCTTCAGAAGCGGAAATATGCAGCTGCCCAAATTCTGTAATAAAACGTTATGGTCCAACGAGACAAGGGTGAGTATTCGTTCATAAAACAAGAGGAATGTGTGATGAAGAACACTGAAGCAGCTGTCAGGCATGGTGGTGATGGAATCATGCTGAGGGGCAACTAAATGGTTATTATGTTGACATAACTGGATGTTTCAACAGGACAGAGACATCAGGAAGACATTAAAAGTGGTTTTGGAATTGATTATGCCAACAGGCTTCTTAAATGACTTTGACTTAAATGATGACAAGCAACAAAATTAAGAAATAAATAGGCTTAAAGCCCATAGCAGAGCTATGCTCAGGGCTACAGGAGGTCTGCAAATTCTCCAACTCATATTTTTTCAAACGATATAGTGGTAATGTAAAAAATGTTGTCACAGTTAAAAGGGTTGGAAAAAAATCCCCAAAAGATTCAACCTAATATTTGTGATCTTTATAGCTGCACTTTCTATTGCCTGACTCAAAAATGTATCGTTCAAATAAAGAACTTAAATTTGAAACTAATACCATCATACCAGAGATGAGTGTATATAAACTTCTGACTGGAACAGTTTAGTGATAAACTTAAGTAGCAAGTAAGGAAATGTTTATTCAATGTAATTAAAGCAAGAACCTGAAGTCTCTCTGCTGGTTCATTCATTTTGCTCCCCAACCAAAAGCAGCTGAATTCTCTGAATGAAAATGAACCGCCTACCCTAAAAGTGCATCATAGTCTATATACCAAACTAGCCTTCCATTAGCTGGCTTCACTCCAGTGACCGGATATTTTTCCAGGTTTTCCTGAACCCGGCTCAGCTGGGTGACCAGCTCATGTTTGCCTTTTCCCATCACTAAAACAGCGATGCTGCGTGCTCGGTTAATGGCGCTAAAGGTGAGGCTCATCCTCTGATGAGGCTTGACGGGGCTTTCTGTGAGAGCGACCAGCCCCTCTCCCAGCTCGTTCAGTTTCCCACCAGGGAACAGTGAGGCCGTGTGGCCATCGTATCCGACGCCCAGCAGGACGAAGTGAAAGCTGGATCCGTTAACAAGTTTTTTGATCTCCTTCTCATACAGCTGAGCTCCTCCATCCTCCTCCACACAGAGGCGCTGGTTGAGCTGCACTGGCATGGGGTGGATGTTGTAGTATGGTATCTTCACGTAGTGCAGGAGGTGTTTATGCATGTTGTAGAAGTTAGACTCCACCTCAGTCGGTGGAACACAGCGCTCATCCACCATCCAGATGTGCGTATCTCTCCAGGGGAAGGAGAAATGGTGCAGAACCAACCTGTGAAACAGGGCGAGAGGACTGGAGCCTCCAGAGAGGGCGAGGTGAAAGACCCCGTTCTCCTGCACGGCCTTCTCAGCTGCTTCCTGCATATCTGCAGCCAGCCTCTCTACCAGCTCCTCCGTCCAGGCAGACACCATCTCAGCACTGCGAAATTTCCCCTGCATCACCTGGAAATTGCTGGCTGATGTCCCTCCCGTCTGATCGGGACTAATGATCACCACCTCGCTGTTATAGTGGATTTCTTTCCCCCTCAGATGGACGTCCAGCATGCCTCCATTGTCAGCGCCACCAGGGTAGATCCGAGGGAAAGATCCCTTAAGGCTGCTGAGAAGTGGAGTCCATACTTCCCAGGAGGCCAACAGGTTTTCAGTACTGATAAAATTATTCTTCTGCCCAGCAAAAATATGAGAAATGAGCTCAGTGTAAGCTTCCTTTTCTGTTGTTGGGGTTTGGATGTAATAATCGGAAATCTGCAGGCCTAAAACACTGATATCTTTGTGCTCTGTGACTTCCTTCCATTCACCGACTATCAAAGGCTTGAATAAATTCTTGCTGACCAGAACTGCTGGATATTTAAGACAGCCGTGCCCAAAGTAGAAAACGATCTGTTTGGGTTTGCAGCGATCATCGTTCTGGCTCTGAAGGCAAAAGACGTCGTTCTTAAAAACGACACGTGCGTACCCTACACGTTCGTCTAACATCTTCCCGGAGATCAGAAGAACCGGAACGTCTTCATACTGCGCCTTGTCGATATGGGCCAGAACAGCTGCAAGACAGTCAAAATGTAGATTTACTAACTAAACAGTACAAACAATACAGTAGAGTAAAAGTAAAGTTCATGTATTTTATTAGATTGGTTAGTTTTTAATATAAACCCAGCTGTTCTTTAATGGCTTATAGACCTGTAAGAATAGCTGTTCATCCTGCAAAAGTCCTGTTTGAAATCTGTCACAGGGTATATACAGAGCTGGGGAAAGAAAAAAAGTGTTGGAGACCAGAATTCAATATGTTGGCCTCCTGATTCCTACATGTGTAAGAAGTAATAAACTTTAACCATCTGTCATAAAAAGGAAAGCTGCCAATAGATGAAGCTAAATTAGGTTAATTCCTGGAAGAAGTTTGGTGAACCTGCACAAAATGGAGCAGTTTCACCTCGCGGACAATGACCCCGACAGATAGAATAGTTTAGATCGAACTATTTTGATGCAGCAAAGTGACCCAGTCAAAGTGCAGGCCTAAATCTGGGCTTCAAGTCTGAAAACCTGGGCTCAAAAGCTCATTTTCATAAGCCGTTTCTATCCAATCTGACTGAGTTTGAGTCATTTTGTTAAAGGAGTAAACCCACTTTTCAATTTCTTGTTAGACAAAAACAATACTTTCCTACTCCATGTATTACTATGTATAATTTTTGTGTTTGCGTTATCACACTGAATGCCAGAATTATATAGTAAAGTGTGTGGCTGTAACAAAACCAAAGTATTAAGACTTCAACGGGGCACTGTAGGAAAGCAAAGAAAGAAAGTTCTTTGCTCACCTGCAAACGTTGGAGTCAAAGTTACATGCTCTTTAGTTTTGTTCAGCTCCTGCTGAACCTCTGTTTTGTAGGTTTGGTACTGTCCGATCACAGCTTGATTCTTTCCTAAAGGCAGCATGGAATGGAGGACCTCCAGCTTGTTTCGAAGAACCTCTCCACTGTTGCTCACATTCACAGGGAGCTCCATGGTTAGCAGTGTCATGACTTCAGTCAGGTGGTTCTGCAGGACATCTCTGATCACTCCGTACTCGTCATAGAAGGCAATACGACCTAAGAGGTTCGAACCAGAACAGACATGAGCACCAACAAACTAAACACACACGATCGGTTATAGAGTTTCATTTACAGAAAATCCTGATCATCTTGTGGCTTTTGTTAGTTAGCCTATTTAAGGTGGTCAAGTTACAACAATTAAATGAGGAAAAAGTAAAAAAGAAAAATATTTCATTTGTTATAACTACAAACATTTGCATGTTTTATTATTTTATGGTCAGTGTAAAAAGCCCATACTCAATAACTGTCAGTGTGGCTCGTAAAAAAATATCATCCAACATCCCACTAAGTTTCAGACCAATCCAGTGGAATTTAGTGGTTGGATCCACCCACTGACTCTGATAAGGTAGCTCGACAGAAATCACACCACTTTAAAATATCCAGATCATATTTTTATACTTTTAAATCCGTTATCTATGCAAAATCCCCCAAAACCACCGGTCACTTCAACAGTCAAGGTGACAATTCATGAAACATTCCCTCTACAGGTCATCTGATCCAAGAGAATAACTATTCCTCTAAGGATATAAACTCTAACCAGATGTCCCTATCTGAAGACTCTCTGGATTTTGCATTGTTGCCATGACAACAGACGACAAAGGTGTCCACCTTTATAGCCACTGTATAGTCGTTTATGGGAGCAATTAGGAAGGGGTGACTGGCCTCGGTGTGAGTCAACATTTACAAATTTTCTATACGCAAAAGGTTTTAACCATTCATTAATTTCTCCCTTCTAGTATGACACCCAATGTTCTGGAAAATTTTGATGTCTGTTCATGTTAGATCCTCTAAAATGTATTTTTCTCCCCTCCAAAAACAAAATAAACCTTTAAAATGAATGTGTTCAATCAGTGGGGTAAATAAGAGAGAAAGATGGAATTGCTTTTACAAAATCTCTACATCCTGGGTTCTCCTCCAGCCTCTCCACCGGAGGTCACACTGCAGGACTTCTACAGGATTTAGGTCTCATACCAAGATGGACGTGGAGAAAGGCTGGCTTTTAGTCAGGGAAAACATTTTGGTGTCATATGGTGTTCTTTGATCATTATTCTACTGAGGGATTATTTTTGTTTTCTAATTTGGCTGCCAAAAACCTAGAAAGGTGCTGTAAAAACCTACCTATGGTGACATTATTTAAACCAAAGTGAAGAAAACCTTTGATCACCTTTAACATCCAGAGTTTCTTTCAAAACAATCTCTATCCTCTCGATGTGATGCCTGTTCCAGATGGGATCCAAAAACTTTCTGTTCTCTATCCTGAATGGAAGTATCTTAGACACCACCTTTTTTATGAAAGGAAGAGCAAACGAATGTAACACCCAAATTGTCAGGTAGGATATTAATGTAATGTGGTGTGTTTCATGTTTTCTCACCTGCTTTCCTAAGTAGTGGTCTATCCTGTACATCTCTTCATCCTTTAGTGCACTCAGTAGTTCCGTTGCTAACACCTGTGCGCTCCTGTAGTCGTGTCCAAATGGTTTCTCCAGTACGACTCTCAGCCACGGCCCACCGGTCGGTCTGCAACTACTATTGATCTTTTCTGCAGCACCTGCATACGCAAAAGCTGGAACAGAGAGGTAAAAGAGCCGACCAGCTTCCGTCATTCCCTCCTGTTGGAGCTGCTGCTCGATGTGCTTGGCCAGCTCCTGGTAGTCCTCCAAAGTTTTCAGCTGGCGATACTGCGAGAGCCGCAGGAACTGATCTTTCAGGATGGCGCAGCGATCCTGGGACACGTCCTTGGAGCAGGTGACTGCCTTCAGTATCTCAAAAAGCACCGGTGTGGCCTTTTCGGCTGGGGACAAGCCTGCACCATAGAAGGAAAAGGTGTTTCCGCCGCTGACCTGGTCGACGTACAGCTGGAAGAATCCTTGCCACAGATACTTCCTGGCCAGGTCTCCGGTTCCTCCGACTATGACCACAGAAACATGGCCACTTCTGGGGGCCTCTTTTTCCTCCTCACCATATCCTCCGCTGGCACACAGAGCGACAAGAAGCAGCCAGACTGTTAAAGACATCTTCTGGTCTTATCTGTCCACAAATCCTGGATGGCAGAGAGATTAGTCAATATTCAATGAGCAAGTTCCTGCTTAAACATAAACATTAATATGAAGATTAAAGTCAACTCCTGCAAACACAAATTTACTAATTGAATGCATTAGTGAAGCAAAAGCTTTTTAGAAAACTCAAAAGCAGCTGTTATAAATACCAACATACCCAAGATACATCAGATTTAAATGCAACGATTGATGATTTACTCAGCAAAGTCACCGCTTCTCGTCTTTCCAAGTTCCCTGAGAGGCATTGATCCAGTGCAGCAGTGCAAGCCAGGGGTGTGGACTTTTGCTCTTTGCTCAGGGGCATTGAGCTTCCAGTCTAAGACTTGGACTGGTTGTTTATTCTGGGAAAATCCTGCCCACTTACTGATGATTTTGCAAGGGATGAAAGCCCTCTATTGAGACAGAAATATATCAACAAAAAAATGAATATCTCGATTAAAATAAGAAGAAAACATTATGTGAAGGGATGTGGTTGCCAGCTATTAAAACTATCAGAAGGTCTATAATAAACCAATATCACACAGACATTGTTCTTCTGTGCGAATAAATGCAATGGGTCATGAAACAAGCTTGTAACCTCAGTCAGAATTGGATAAATAGATGCAGGTTGATTAGCTGCAATTACGTGGTGTGAATCTTTAAACACAAATACTAACATTTGCCTGAACTTTGTTTTTATTGAATAACATCTTTTAACTTTTTGTTTCTGACTGTATGAATAGTGTCACATAATGTTTTCTTCTGTTGAATATTATTCTATTCTTTTTGATGAGGACTCATTGAAAATAATTTCTAGAAAGCAATCAGTTTAAAGGTTCTAATCTTGTTCCAACTAGAATGAAATAAAAACACTAAAAGGGATAAAGATGTTGCTTAAAATAGATCACAATGAAATACAGTCAGAAACAAATGAAAACTTACATGACTTTAAAAGGGTCTTTTTCAGATCAAAATTAGATAATCAGGCATTTTAAATCTTAATAAATTATTTTACATAGGGAGAGATGGATGTAAGAATAATATTTTGAATTTTGCAAAACTTCTTAATATCCTATTGCAACACTGTTGGATCTGTGAGCTTTAAATAAAATATATGTAGGAAATAAAAAACAAATGTTTGATCCCAAGTTGATCCATTGAGGGTTATCTCAAGGGAGACTGAAAACTAAACAGTACATAGGATACCTACAGGATGAAGCTGACTTTATGGCTGAGTTAAACATCTGGAATCCCTGCAGCTGATCGCAATGTTTGCGCTACTGCAATGCAAACAGCAAAGGCCGCATTACAAGGCAGCCTTATCAGCCACTAAATATAGGCCGGGATTCACAAAAATTTATTATTTTCAACTAGTAAAAACACTAAATTAAAATGCCACACAACTAAAATACATTACTCTTTAAAAGCAGCAGTGTGTTTATTGGTTTTGATCTCTCTTATGTCCTTTCTGCACATTGCTCAACATGGGACAGTAAATTCTTCAAAAAAAACATTGCTTATGAAACTTTTTAAGTGACAAAGCCCAAGAAAAACAAAACACACCCCCAGATTAACATTAAAAGTAAATATCAAAATAATCTAAAAATTCACACATCAGGATGTGATCATTTATATAATCTATATACAGTGTTTTATTAGGTGAATTGTAAATGACAGAAATAAATCAATAATTAAAACATTTTAAATAATTAATAACGACTTTATTTGCGTTTGGTTCCGTTTGAACGAGCTACACAAAATACGCTCCATTATAGCTTCAGGGATCATATAGGTTTTCTCTCATGACTGAAACTAATAAGCCCAATGATTCACTAGAATGTTCTGCGACTAACAACCAAATCCTTGGCCCTCAGTTAAGTACAATATTCAAAAAGGGCCCTTTGAATGGCTGAGTTTGAACTTTACAGTGTAATAATTCTTCACTACATCAACCCAGCATCACAAATTTGGGTTTTTAATCAGTTAGTTATACGTTTGTTCATCTCACAGTATGTGCATTGAAAGGCTCCTGTACAGTCCCTGCAGTGCAGTGGAAGTAAAAACACACCATGAACCTGCTGGTTCCTGTTCTCTTACAATTCTGACATCACAGATAATCAGGAAAAACAACAACCATCTTTTAGACGCAGGTTTATTCATGGTTCTGTTAACCTACAGCTCCATAATAAAACTGATAAATAGGAACCTACTAATTAAGTATCCCCTGTTTGAAATTAGTACTTGGTTTGGAAAAAAATAAACAACCCAAATGACAAACTATTGTCTGAAAAAAGATGATTAACTCATTACTTTTTTCACAAATTTAAAACTGCAGTCAGTTTTCTTCATAAAAAAAGTTGGTAATCATCCCCAGCATTAATGCACATTAAACTGAACCCATGTTAACAGCCCCGTAACCATCATTGAGTACATTGAGGTCATATCCTTGGTATTTTTTTTTTTTTTTACTTTTTATATTTTTTATCCATATTTTTATCCTAAGTGTATATATTAGTCTATTTTTTGCATGCCTTATACCCACAGTGTTTCTAGAGATTTTTATAATTTTATTTACCTTTTCCATATTATATGTTTCATGTTGCACGATTGTACCATAAAAAATTCCTAGTTTGTGAACTCCTTCACTAACAATGGCAATAAAACTGATTCTGATTTTCCTGTTTATTTATTTATTTATTTTTTTTATTCAGAGAAATAAACTATATGATCAAAATTGTTCTGACTTTGATTTGTGTAAAGATCAGCATACATTCTCATCACAATCACATAAAATCAATTTATTTTAAAACTGAGCGGAAATTGCATCTGACATTTCATTCTATCATATTATGCAGCTCCTTTGCAAAAGTCAGCTGCCCACGTTCTGAGCACCACGAGATAGAACAGGCAACCAGTTTATAGTGGAATCTGGAAATGGAGGCAAGATGAAGAAATCTATGCCGAAACAAACTTAGCTTAGCTTTGGAAAGCCAACAGGTCAGGGGAAAATAAAGAGAGAAGGAGGCGAGTTCATTTCGCCAGTAAATATATCATTCAAAGCATGGCTAGGAATAGGAAGCTCATTATGAAGAATACAGATTTCTGCTTCGGCTATTTCAAAACTATTGATTCACATGGGGAAAACTAAGGTAGCCTAGGCCTAATCTAACAGCCTGTGTATAAAACATTGTTTTTGAGGTTAGTTCGTTGTGTTGCTCATGGTAAATTATGAAGAATAAAGATTTCTGCTTAGGCTATTTAAAAATGGAGCAAAATAATGTAATCACTCATTCACTCACATTCATTCTCTAATTTTGTGAGTTTTGGAATTGTTATAATAAACATGTTCATATTCACCTCCTTGATGGGCTTGTGATTTAACTCTCTTTATTCACGTTTCTAAAATGTATTTTAAAAAGTTGCCATGTTAGGATGTTTTTTTGTGAGGTAAGATTTATCGCAATACTTGACCTCGGTATTTTAAAAATCCTGGTTACGACCCTGCATGTTAGGTTTATTAGAGAAGGGCTGGGGGCCCCTTTCCATTGCTCTCCTACTGACGTCCCTGCGGCTCACGTTGTGTTGAATTATGTCCCCTGAATAATCTTATCCTCTCCTGCTACTGGTGACATCAGCTCTAAATAAACATCGTTTAACGTTTGGAGACTGTTTCCGGTTCCAACCCTTTTAATATATATTTTCTAAAGACGGTATTTGCCATGTACGAATATTAAACCAAGGTAACAAAATAAACAGCTGCTGCTTCTTTCAGAAGTACAAAAACTTTTTTTTTTACAATTAACAAACCGGACGTACAGTCGTAACCGAAAACACTGAACGAAGTTTTAACTGGTTTATCTAGTGAAAAGCTGGGTGCCTATGTGTCAAAAGGTAAACATTAACAGATAAAGAGCGAGTAACACGTTTGTCACTGGATTCCACCTGCTAGCTGTCAAACTCCACTTCCGCTGCTAACGCCAGACACAACCCTGTTCTACCGAATATGTAAAAGACGACGTCGAATTGGCGTTGATACAAAGACACGAATGAATATTTTTCAATGGGACTGAAATATACGTAAAAATAAGCAAACGAACCTGCCACGAGCTGCCTGAAGTACCTTTAAAGGACGCTTCCTGTACCTGTCACGTGACCAACACTACCGCTCTGTCCACGCGGAGGATGTTTTGATATAAAGTTCCTTTCGCTCCTCAGACTGAACTATGTTGGAAATAATGTTTTGGAAAATTGGGGTATTTACAGAACGTATGAAAAAGTGGACCACAATCATTGACTATAAAAGGAAACTGTTACCCAAATGTAGGACCTTGTATATATATATATATATATATATATATATATATATATATATATATATATATATATATATATATATATATATATATATATATATATATATATATATATATATATATATATATATATATATATATATATAGGGTTACACAATTAATTGTAACCTTAATCTGGAAGACAAAATGTAAAATAAATAGTTAATTTATTTTACTCTAATTTATTTTACTCTCTGCATAACATACACAGTATACATGAAATGATTTAGGAAGAAAATTTGCTCCAAGTCATACACTTGGCTCTTTGGCCTGAACAGATGTTTAGGCATAGTAATTTGGGAATCATCTAAACTTTGCTTGGCCCTGAAAATAAAAGCCAGTTGGTACCCAGGTCTAACCCATTAAAACAGAAATTCATGAATAAAATTCATAACTCAATTTTGGCTTGTAACTTTTTAACTTTAGTTATACTGAGCTACCCACTTGACATGTGTTACCACATCAAGAGCGCCCTCTGCTGGTCACTAAGTGGTACTACTGTTTTTATTTTTTTATTTGCCATGTTATGCACTCAAAGCCGTGGTTGAGGACTTTTAAAATTAGATTAGCTAAAAATAATAATACCCCCCCTCCGCGTATAATATCTGTATTCGAGTACTAAAACTCTTTACCTGAAATAAAAAAAAAGTAAACCTTAAATTCATGAAGAGCAGCTTATTTCTGTAAGATAAATATCAGCTCCTGTTTGACCTGCATTGTTCAGCTGCCCTTGTGTCTCCAGGCCTCCCTCTAACAAAACATGTGTGCCTTTTGGCTCGGTAATGATCTTATTGTTGTGGACCACACTGACCTTTTATTTCTTCCAACAGATGTGACCATCAGATCACCCTTAACCAAACTGTTCTTTTTCTTTAAATACCTTCTTTGCTTATTTTCTGAAAACTAGACTCTGTAGCCGGTCTGCTACTCTTCTTGGATGTGTCTTGGTAAAGGTGCTGGAAGCCAAAAATAGTCCAGGAGCAAACAATAGGTTTCCGCACACTTGATCTGTGTAACATTTCAGTCAGAAGGATCTTTTTTATCAAAGCGAAGGTCTTTGTGACTGAAAGCTCACATTAAAGTGAAATCTTGCAGAAATCCTTTGTTTGCTTGCTTCTGAAAACTAATTGAAACCTCAAAGCATCTTTCTACTGCTTGCAGGCTCTGGATAATTACATTGCTTGTTAGACAATTTTACTTTTCTCTGCTGCTGTTAGAGTTTCCTACAAAATAATAAGTTTAAGAAGTATTGAAGAGGTGTGATAGATAAGAGAAGCAGTCAGTAAAAACAAACTGCTACCTCACAGACAGCTGCAATGCCTGTAATCACACTGTGGTAGCCCTCCCAAGTTGGCTAGCCTCTGTGAAATGTAAACAGTAAACAGGATGGAGCATCCTGTGTTTGTGTGTCGCACAGTCTGGCTGTTGTTGTGGAGGTGCTGAAGAGAGAAAGAGCCCATGAAGAGCATGCTGGCCCAGCTGTCACTGCCTCAGTCTAGAGAGACCTCAGGACGTCTCCCCCCTTTGCCCAATCATTCTCCAGAGCCCATATCCCGCCCCCCCTGGCTTCCTTCCTCCCCTTTGTTAAGCCTGCGGGGCAGACTTCGTCAAGCTGAGCACACAAATGAATGCATATGAATGTGTGCTGTCATCTTTATTAGGCTGCTTTGCCAACACTCATTAGAATTTACACAGTTCTTTACCAAGGCAATTTCACTCTTAGTCCTCACCCCCATTTCTCATTTGCCAGACGAAGAGGATTATGGTAACTGCGGTTTGGGATAAATCTGAATACACAACCTGTTGCATGCTAATAAGTGACCATAATACACAGGAATGATTGACAGGCCTGTTTTTTTAATTATCACAAAGCTTTGCATTCATTTTGGACTCCAGTTATCCGATATCTATTATGCACTGAAGGAGTATTCATACCCAGTTAACTTTTCTGCTTTATACTGTGTTAGAACTGCAAACTCCAATATTTGAATCGTAGATCAACACAAAGGAGTACATAATGTTTGATGTGAAAAGAAAACAAAAAAAGTATGTCAGATTTTTTTCCCCGTCACATTTACTGTTATGGTCCAGAATAAAGTTCAGTGCAGCCCGTTGCCTTCACAAACCACCTTGTAAAAACCTACTACAATAGTAATTTAATCTTAGTAGCCTTTTATGTAGAGGTCTAAACAATCCTCATCATCATGAAGACCAAGACAGCAGGGAAGTGAGCTGTTGATTCAGGACTTGGTTTAAAAATTACAACCTCAATGTTTTAAACACTTTATTTTCACAAAATCATCCAGAAATGAGTTTGGCACAACTGTAAACATAGAGAGAAAAGGCCTCCATCTGCGTATTCTAGGTCTGAGCAGTAACAACGTCAGACATGCAACCTTGAGGCCCATGGTCACCCTAAAGGAGCTGCATGGAGTCTGTCAGAAACGACAACATTTGTCATGCACAAACAAATCACTTCTTCATGGAGAGGTGGTAAAAAGAAATTGACTGCTGAAAGGAAGTCATACAAAGCCATGCAGCCAGTTTCCTACATGAGGGACACAGTAGACACAATATGCACTGGTCAGATCAGATCAGAGACAACTAAAACAGTTTAGTCAGCGTGCAAAACACTTCATGAAAGCAGAGTGGTTGCAGTACAATTCTGTGGGGGTGGCATTCTAATGCAGGCAGGGAAAATTATGAGTTTATGGAATGTTGGATGGAACTAAATATAAAAAAATACCAAAGCAAAACCTGATAGATGTTGCAAAAGATGCAAAATTTGTGCAGAGCTGGTTCTCCCAGTAGAAAAAGAATTGGAAACATACTGCAGCGCTACAGATGAATGGTTTAGATGGTATTTGACCAGCACCATCAAAATACAGACTTATAACTGAAATCAAGTGGCCAGACCAAAAATATAAACATTCACATTCAGCAATTTTGCAAAGATGAAAGAGTTGGAGGTGTCATGGGAGGGAAAGAATCTTCCACAAAGTCCTTATGCAAGGGAATGAACACAAAAAGACTTAAACCTTCCATCCTTTCATTGTTAAAAAAAAGGAAAAAGAAGATAGCTGAAACCCATCTGATGTCTAAGTTATATTTATGCACTACTGTGTCTTGATCAATCTCATAAAATTCCAATACAATTGAGTTTTAGTTGTATCTTTAAAAGAAAAAAAAGATGTAAAGGGACAGGTTCTTCTTAACAGTTTTATATTTGAAAGTATCTAGCTTGTCATCATTTTAAAAGATCTTTTGTGTTTGTTCAGGACGTCCCTGAATTCAGGTCAGTGTTAATGCAGGAGGTGAGGGTGCCCTGGGTTTCTAACAAAATTCTCACAGTTCTTCTATTCGTGATACAAAACTTGTCAGAACGTGCTCCTTCTTTTGTTTCTGAGTCCTCTCCCGCACACGAGAAAGCCCTCACAGACAACAGACACCCGCCGGAGCTCCAGCTGAAGGAGGCAGTGCTTTCAGAGATGGCATGTGGACTTTTCAAAGGGAAATGACTCAAGACATGAAGGAACAACAAAAAAAAAGCACACACACACACGCACACAGGGTTTTCAACAAAGAGGAGACAGGGGAGTAAAGGATAAAGAAGTGACTATAGGTTCCATTCACTATTTGCACAGATAAAGGAGTGTTGCTTTTGTTTTGTTGTCATTAGAGCTGGGGTTTTCTGCATACTTCTTTCATGTTGATGAAATTTCCATCCAGTGTGATGCCCAGTCATGTCTAAAACACCAACAGCGGTGAGCCGAGGTATGTCATTGTAGTTACCCAGTAGGGTTATCTCCTGGATTTGTCAGTGCATAGTTTTGTTGTCGTTTTCTTTTCATAGGTCATGCTTTGTGTGGTTTCCTGCTATCAGATGTGGGATTGCATCGTGTTCTGTGGGTTAAAACCCTTTACCTTCATCATCAGATCTCCTTTAAAACTCACTAGGATTACCTCCAAAGCTTCAAGGACTCCTTTAATGTGGCTAAGAGCCTCAGAAAGAGGACTTTTATTGATTTAGAAGGAAATCACCTAAATTGAGCCATTCGTTTAATTATGTAAAATGTTGCTATAGAGAATTTGTACTTTATTCTAAAAATGGTGCACATTTTGGCGCATTTGGCATAGTTTGGGCATTCAAAGTTAAACTCAACATAATAAGGTATAAAAGTACTGATACTCATAGTCAGATCTGACTCAACTACAAGTTACTCAGTCAAACATAAACTCAAGTTAAAGTATTAAAGTCCTCACTTTTGAAAATACTGAAGTATTCAAAAGTACATGCATTTAAAAGTGTTTAAGTATTCAAAAGTACAAATACAATTTTCTAATATCAGTACATTTCTGTCTAATATTAAGAGTAATTTTAAAGAACCTTGTAACTTTCAGAAACCACTTAATGTATTGATGCAAAGAGCCACTCTGCTACCAATACTAAATCACTTGTAAAGAACTTCAGTATAAATTTTTTTTTTATTTATTTAATTTATTTATTTCTTATTTAAAAATAAGCCAAACGAAAACAGGAGAGTCTTGATTCTCCTCACAATTTCACTATAGAATAGAGGTTTAAGGTTAAATCTATATAACAACTTGTGCCACATGGCAACAATTAAAGCTTTAATAAAATGTACTACCAACAATATCTGCACTTAGTTTCTCACATTTGTGGAATTTTATGCAAATTTCTAAAACAGTGGTGTCCAAATTCAGTCCTAAGGCCTGCTATCTGCTATATTGAAATTGCATTAAAAAAAAAGAAAAAAAGAAAGAAAAACAGCAACAGAGGATAAAAAGCTAAGCTAAGCTGAGCAAAGGGAATAAGTAGCAGCTTCCTCGAAATGTAGTG